GACCCGAATGAGATCAATAATGTGGAAGAGAACTCGGCTACTGCATTGTATTGCATACATTGACACACAACCACACAATAGGGTAGCATAAGACAATTATGCTGGAGTCTTATATGATTAGGCTGAGACAGAGACTGAATAACTGAATCTTTGTTCATAGAATCAACAACCAATGACGCAACAACCATATCAGAGATATGAAGAACTTTACTATCAACGAAAATAAAGAATATCTGGTGACAGGACCATAAAAATGAGATATTGTATGGAGTGTATCACTGTGCACTATATATCAAAAAACAAATGTCAGTCTAGATTCATTGCCTACAGTAAATGAACGGAACTTTCTTTAAGGCGACCTTGATGCCAAATTATTCATTCTAACTAACACAAAAGATTTAAACTCAATGAGATAAAATAACTGAGATACACCGGTTACTTGTATTTAACCTAAATGAACATTTCTGGTATCTAAAACGCTTAAGGGTGCAAGATAACAGCTCACACGATAGCCTTAAATTCATTCTGTATCAGTTATCAGCTTAAAATACTTTGTTGATAACAGACGATACACTGTGTCATCAATCAGATTCTCCAACAGACTTCGAAAATTAAAAATCTATATTAGATAAAACAACACGTTGAATTCATGTAAAATTTCATTCAGTTTTCGGATGTTCTGTTTACGAACGTGAATTAGGAACATTTTTGAGTTCATTTCAACAGTTATTGGCTGAATTATAGAAATACATTACCCGTTGACATGAGTGATTATAGACCGCTCACGCCAATCAGCATTGGTCTGTATCCAGATCAAAATAATCTAAACCCATGATGACCATTTCGCATATTTGGAACCAATTTCATCAGAGGTTTATGTGAATAGATTGATCTCAGAGAGTTGAGTTGTCTAAACCACTGGGAATGCTGGACAGCTAGTAGAACAGACTGGTTGTAATCGGAATCAAAATATGTATTTTCGAAATATTCAGTCCATAGTGAAAACGATACAATTAGATAAGATGTAAATGTGAAATCCTTTTGTTTTTCCAATGGAAACAAAAAATATTCAGATCACATAAAATGATCTGTTCAACACAAAGAGAATTAAGATTACCAGCATGAAAGGGAATTTTGATAGAATTTTACTATTTCACAACTCAACTAATTGTTTCATTTTTATCAGAAATTGGTCATTTCCCTAATAGATAATTTGAATCACGCAAGGCAGTTGCGGATATTTGACTGCCAAACTATATAAATCTCTGTCTTCAGTAAAATTATGTTGAAAATAGTCCAACTTTTGTCTAATTTTGCCATGGAGTGCGACAATATCCTTTAGATTCATCAAAGAAGCCTGGAAATCCCTGGTAAGCCTTCACAGTCAATCATAGCTTATCGAACCTTAGGGACAAGTCACGTGATCATATATGTGAGACTCAGATTGGTTAAAGGGCTCTCTAGAAAAGTGTAGAACTTCACAGGATCATCAAAAAATGTATCCGAACGGTTAGTTTTTGTACACATTCGGCTAGACAATAAACCTTTGTCGGTTTTGCCGCTTCTTTCTGTTTTCGAGGTACCTAGGAATCATCAAGGGTTAAGACTAAGGTTATTGTTCAACAGTCCACTCCTACATATATATAACACAAAGATAGATCCCATGTACATACATTTTAACACTCTTCAACTTTCAGTTAAACAGAGAGTATCCATCGGATGGTAGACACCAGACTACAGTCCAATAGTTCAGCACTTAAGTTCACATTCTGTGACCTGGACCTTTTCACATCTGTAATCATTTGGATGCCAAATGTAGATAAGTGAATACTTTAGAAACATAAATATATGAAAATAAACACGTGGGGGAAAACGTATATGAATATGTATATACTAACATGTAAATCCCTGACGGGGACATGGATGCGTACTGCTGAGGAATCCTATACTAGGACGAAACAGCCGTCCAATACTCTCCGATTCCTAATGTTTCTCTATGTGATTTCAGTCCTTGATGAATATCAATTTGAAGGTAGTAAACAAATCTCAAATTCCTCTAGGCTTAAAACAGTCCTTCACACAGCATGTTACTGGATAGTGATAACAATATGTTCCTCCAGGAAAAGCCTCTTTTCGAAGCGTCTGCAATTGTAATCCCTTCAAGCTCTCAAGACCAATTGCCAATTTACTGTAGGGAGAGATTTTCTGAGTTGATATGATACAAATGATAAGTGAATGAATTATATGAAATCTTGGTTTGTTATCCCCATTCGTGTTAACTCTACCCTGACTTCTAACCTAAGGATACAGAGTGATATGGTAGAATGCATTGAACACTTCCCTTGCTGTACAAGCTACATTAGACCTAAACATCGGTTGTTCAGAATTCAAAATCAGTAGAATATCTGTATTCTGATAAAGTATTAGGACTAGACAAAAAAATTGACTATTCTTGAATGAGAAATCATTGTGTGTAATCCAGTCCCACGAAAGGTCAGTAGCCACCAGAAATAGCGCACTATAAGTATCGCAGACTGCAACTCTGTACAATGTGGATTCAAATCACCATAGGGACTCTAGTCCTCTTGACGTTATGGAGACCGCCTAATGATGAGTTCCAACAAGGATGAAAGCTGGATGAGACAGATCTTAATGTTTATTGCTTCCAAACATCTAACAGAGGTGATGAAGATACCCAACCAACAACAGCATCAACAAAAATCACCAATCACAATCAACGCGAGAAACTTAAAAAAAGTAGCCTCTTCCATCCAACCACCTAGGCAGCACCGTTTCAACTACAGGCAGCACAGGCACAGACAAGGACGTCAACGCAGCCAGGATCGGAAAGACAGCAACACAGGCGTTCATTAACCTGAAACCAGTATGGAGATCTTCTGCACTCCACTCAGCATAAAGCGTTAACAACATCCAGATTTTCAACACCAATTCAGTCAAGTCAGTGATTCTATGTGGTTGACAGACTTGGCGCGACACGAAAAGCATTGCCAACAAATTACAGGCACTCATCAACAAGTGCTACGCTGACTCGTTACTGAAGCTCAGATTGGAAGGCGAGAATAAGAAGAATAAGCAACAGGGAACTCACTCTGACTGGCTGGCCGGCGACGAACCAACGAAGCAAGGAGCTATCACTCAACAAACATGCACTGGAAGGAAGTGGAAGTGTAGATGGGTTGGATTGGATATACACTGAGAAGACCGTTTTGGAACATCACACATCAGACCAGGCACTCGAGTGGAACGCGCATGGGAAACGGCGAGTTGGGCGTTCGAGGTGAGGTGACATGGAGGAGATTACGTAAGGAATAAGAAAGATGAGAGCTTGTGGGCTGTGGTGGAGCTAGGTTGAAGAGACTGCAGAGAAGAGAGTGAAATGGAGACGTGCTCCTGAAGCCGTATGTTCCACTAGGAACACAAAAGACAAATAATAATAATCTAACATCGACCAAAGTAAACTGAGATGAACAGTCCCCTAGCTTGGTGACCATTTTACAAAATAATCGATAAAATTCGGTTGGCACTGGTTAGAAGGCAACATGAAATTGTTTACTCTCTAGTGACCAACAAAAAGGCAGAGTACCAGTTTCGATACAAAAGATCCATTTGTCACTTGGCGACTTATTGCATCACTGATGACGACTTCATATCACACGATGAGCATGTTTTACAGTCGTTCGCTTTGTTATGTTGCATAACTGGAAACAATAGACGGTGAAAATGGAAGACATGGGGACATCAGAGAGTTTTGATTACAGATATCTTTTCAGTATTACTCACATACCAGAATCACTACATAAACTAGGTTAAGATTAGACGCAGACTTCTAGTGAAGTAACGCAAGTTAGTCAATTAGGTTGTGAGCCATTTACTGTAAATTAACTTGGTTGTGTGTTGCCTATGCACGGCCACCGCCTACGAAGTTAGTCGAAACACATATGGGTTAAAAATAGTTGAAGGTGGACATATCGAGTTTGATAACTTCCGATTTCAACCATGTTCAAAAGTTTGTGTTATCTGGCTTGGATTCTCGAGATAAAGGCATAGTTAAGCTTTTGTAAACCCTTTCATCAACCTTTATTTATTCCTTCATCTCTTCTAATCCACCTTCATCTACTCTAATATAATTCATCTTCTCTTCATTTCTTCTCTGTATGCTGCTATGAAGTGTGGTGACTTGAAGTGATACATTTCTGTTCCAGGCTGTGCACTGATCTGTCTATTCATCTGTCTGTATAGACTTAGTTAAAAACAGATATATAACTATGGGATGTGTCTCTGTTTTGTGAAAATCGGTGAAATCGTGGTGTAAAACGTTTCTGAAACAAATATCCTCTACCACTAGGATATCTAATGTTTATGAAAGGAATTAGTTGTATGCGATAGTAATGTTCACTTACGTTGTGATCTGGATTTTTCGTCACATCCGGATTACCAATATGTTAAATGATTACATCAGTCAGTGTGAGCACTAAACTTTAGGTATATAGATACACATATTGAAGAACAGTGTCCTGAAACTTTATCTAATTGTTATCAAGACTTGTGATGCATCCGAAGAATTGGTAACGAAAAAAACTGCTTACTTCAATATTCTCTAGGCTTTTTTTTCACCGACTTATTTCAATGTATTAGTAAAATCACCTGCTATACACTTTCTATGACAAAGACATTTATTCTAAAGTTATATTGATCTCGGTGACTAGCAGAGGAGTCCAGGACACGTATCTCTTCCTATTTAGGACTCGTCATTTGGACGAAACGAACGTCCTGGATTCCTGTGCTGGTCACCAAGATCAATATAAAACCATGAACATCCGGCAGTATCGAGGCATCCGCATAGGATACCAACAGAGGTCGAGCAGCTCGGCCCTGTATAGCAACGAGAAATTACAACTTTCATTGCGGCATTTATTCTAATTTATACACCCTGTGATACAGTTCATAGTGTCATTTATTTTAATTATTTTTCTTTATAGGAAGTCACTTTAAGTCGTAAAATATCAGAAGAAAAGTTTGGTTTAACTTTGTGCTACCGTCAAGGTGATGCTTGCAGTTCAAGCTGTGATGTTTATGTGGGTGATGTAAGTTAATGTTCTTTTCTTCATCATTTATATGCTTCATTCTTTCATATTGTTCCTTACCACTCATTACTGAACTAAGATGAATTGATCTACTATTCAATTAGGAAGATTGTAGAGATTTTATCCCTGATGGGGTCATGCGTGTGCGCTTCTGGGGAGTTACATACTGGGACGAAATAGTCATCCAGTGCTCCTAGGTTTCCAGTGTTTCCTCAGCAGTCAGTCTATGATGAATGCAAACCTATAATCTGCCATTATTCTACCACTTCAGAAGGCTATCACTAAATCCATACAGTGAAATAAATTCCACGAGACTGTCCATTTACATTATAAGGATGATACATCTAGTATGCGTGTATCCTCGCAAATAACATTGTTTTAAACAGACTTTCAGCTGCTAAACCAAGTTGTCATTGTCAGTAACGAATCACAATTAGCGAAATTGGTGACTGTTTTCACAGTGACAGTATTAAACGCCTTCACAACTCTATCAGCACTCGGGTTCCATTAGATCACTGTCCACCTTCCCAATCATTAACTTCTAATCTTTCTTCATGTCTCTCGGTCAATAATCCTACATAAACAAGCTCTCAACAACCATGTGAGTTAGCGAAACAGCATAACTGGTCTTCTGAAGCCACGCTCCAAACTACATATCAGAGCTTTCAGTGTCCACATCCTCTGATAAGTTGGTCAACAAACTTCACTAACTGAAATTCTAGCATACTGGACCATAGATGTGTGCTGTGTTTAGGAGACACTCAGATTACCCAACCATTCTCACCTAGCCATTATGATGAATCTGCAATTTCCCCTTCGAGTTTCTGGAGATTCGATGGCTTGTTCTCGTGGTGTTTTAGGTGTAAGCATAACATTAGATGCGAAGGTGAAAATTGCACTGCCTGGCTAGATCCCAGTTAACAGTCGTCTATGTCCTGTTTGACTTAATAGTGTAGTGAGGATTAAAAAGAAATGTTGAACTCGCCGTTGTCTCTTTGTAGTCCCTGCTTACGCTTCCACTAAGTGAAACTGGGATGGGAAAGAAGAATGAATTCTATCAAAATATATCTAGCCTGCTACTGAAAGCCAAACGTTTAGACGTGGTCATTGTTGCAGGTAATTTCAATGCACCAGTAGACAGGCTCAGTCAGAAAGAAAGGCACTTAAACGACCCTTTTGAAATCCCCGATGAATGAACAAAAAAACGGTGATCACCTGCTGTATCTGTGGTCCAACAACTACCTAGTTTTGGTCAGAACGAACTTCAGAATTCAGTGAGTCTCAGCACCCTCTTCCGAGTTAATGGATACACGAGAACGCATCACTTCCAGCCCTGAGCAAAATGAAGTGCAGAAGCAACTCAAAATCCTACTCAATTACTGTGAACAGTGGTGAAAACCGAAGGCTGAAGAGATGGGAAAGGTAGCGGCCATAGGTAACGGCGGACAAGTATCAAAACATCTGGGAAACTTGAGAGAAAAGATTAGTGGTGAGTAAGAGATTAGATTGGAGAAAGATAGGTTTGCGGCTCATTCGCAGAGGAAACGACTGCAACGATGGATGGAACACTTCGAGTAACAGCTTAGATTGGCCTCCAGTTACTATTTCCTTACTCAGTATGCAGTCAGATCCAGAATGGAATATCGAGATAAGACCCCCGACACTTTCAGAAGTCGAGAAAGCTGTAGGTAATATGAGAGGAGGTTTGCAGTAGGGTTAAACGAACTAGTTCCGGAGATGTTTAAGGACGATAGTAGTCAAGTCAACTGAAATATTAACTAGCGTATTAGAGTCAGACATGATCCTCTCTGACTGGTCTCAATCACTGGTTGTCCTATTCTTCAAGAAAGGGGAGAAACCCTCTTGTGAAAGCCATAGGGGAATCAGTGAAGCTATGGCTCAGTGGTTTAGGGAGATAACTATCAACCATTAGGTCACGGGTTCTAAGCCCCCTCCACCTACCAAGGTCTTGGCAGCCGGGTAGTATCACTTCCCCTCACATAACAGGTGTAGCTTGTCGCCTACTGCAAGGATGTGTACATGGTGGTTGAGTTGCGTACATTGTGCGGGGAAACCAGCCTGATGAACAGTGTCTTAGATTCTCGTTTCTACAATCATTAAACGACTGAGGGGAGCCCGGAAGAGCAAACCCGTGAAAATCATGCAGGCTTCACGCCCGGCTGTAGGTGTGTCAACCAGATATTCCCACCCTTTCACATTCTGGAACACAATCACACTTACAGATGACGGACAATGGTTGTATTTCTCTATTTGAAGCCGACACTTCAAGCTGACAAAGCACATTGACAGATTTTATGAGAGTGTCTTTCAGTGGAAAGAGTACAGAGTAAGTATATCACTCTGCTGAATTCTCTGTACTTGAATACCCGTGAGCATGTTAAAGCTTATGGTGAGTTGTGTACGCCAAATGATTTCCATCCACGATGTCCATTCTTCCCACTCTCATTTAATCTTGCCACAGACATACCTATGGAGGTCTCCTCCTCGTCATTTAGCTTTAAAGGGACTGATCTTATCACAGAAGAATCCTTGGTAGACCTAGAGTATCTAGATGACGAATTTCTGTTACACAAAGATCCTGACAAAATGCAGAATCTTCCTTCCAACTTAGGTGGCAATTTGAGAATGTATGGGATGCGTTTCTCGCCACCCAAATGCAAATTATTATTCCATGACTGGTGCCCCGATTAACAATAGACAGTCAAGTGGTCCAGCCTCCTTACAACCCTACCCAAATGAGAAGACAGATTAGCCCGAGTGAGTCATCTGCACGGATAAAATATCCTCAATAAACTTTCACCATCTATGACACCATCAGCATTTTAGACCACTTATTCAAGATCGACTATACTGTCCTACAGCCTGCTCTCTTCTATTATACACCTATGAAATATGACCATTAAAGGAAAACAAACTGAGTAGGCTTCAGGTGCTCGCCCACCATCACTCTCGTAGCATAAGCCATCCATGTCTCATCGTCAGTAATGAAGAAGTCAAATGAAGTGTGTCATAAGGGAGATGAAAGTCATTTAGTGGAGTTGTCAACCTTCATCGACTCAGGTGGCTGAGGCATGTGTGAAGCATATCTAGTCACCGTATTCCTCATCACACAATGTTAGCTGAAGTAGTTTAAGAATGGAAAATGGGTAGGAGTGGTGAGACTAAAACATGGTGACAGTGCATGCAGTCTTTCTAACTGTTAATCTGAGTCGTGTAGGAGAATGTATGCATGCTGGTTAGGGTCCATGTAAGAAAAGAAACCAGTAGTGGTTTGAGACTGTGTTTGATGTGGTTTCGAATTGATGTCAGTGGTGCAGATGCATCCTCATATTTCTCTACTATCTCATTCCTTCCTGTTATCTCTTTAAGAGTTTTTACCCCTTTTGACGGCTTTCTTCTCGATTTCTTTATTTTTCATCTTATTGAATCCTGTTTTGATTTACTGATATCGGGTGTGGCAGTAATGCAGTAATGCCTAGACCCATGTTGACTTTATCAGTTTCTCCGTACAATAATCCACAAAAATGAAAATTTTAGTTTTACATGGAAAAGTATGACAATTTTTAACAAGTTACTTTCTTAAAAAAACAGGTATTTCGGAAGAATAAGTAGTACAAAAATAACTGAGAGTTCAGTTAACAGCTTTCGAAATGACCTAGGCATTTTTTTCTTTCAGCATTGTACGAGGCTTTCTGTAGATTTCGTCGAATCGCCTAAAACATCAAAACTGTGATGACAATTTTCATTGTTCGGTGACCACATTGGAAAACTTGATTGGTTGAATTTGACCAATCCTTAGGACTAGACAATATGTAACTGGTTGCTCTCCAGTCATCAATCAATGTATGTAATCCACTTCTGCAAGAGGTCACTCGGGACCCGGAAAGTTCAGTGATATCGTCGCTGACTGCACCGCTAGGTGACGCGGGTGTGAATCTCAGAGGTGACATCACCTTCACTGAGGTTGAGGATACACCTTGCTGACAAGTGCCAAGAATCATGAAACCTAGGTCAAGTGGAGTTTTCTTCCTATTGCCTCTAACCAACTAACGTACTTATCAAATGCCTACCTTTGATAAAGTGTCGGATATTTTCTTTTTATCCTGAATTCCCCTAATGAATGATTTGATGCAAGCTTTAAATTTTCCATTTTCATCAGATCACAATGAAAAGAGACTTAAAATGGGTAATATACCAACGTCTATGTGAAATCATAGTGGCCTAATAACCACTTCAAAAGCATAAAATGAACATGATTAGAAACTTACCACCTTATCAAAACACTGACATTGATACTTTTATCATACCGATAAATCCAACCTGTCAAGTTATCTTTGAACATACAATCAAGTATAATTTTATACACTGTCATGTTATATTTATAGCATAGTTATCCCGCTCCCGGTTGGAGGTAAATTCTTGAAAATGATATTTTTAAAGTAGGCTTTGATTAAGAAATTGTAAAGTTTGTAGAAAAAATTTTTCACTTGTATGAATAGTATTTTCTGTTTGTCAGTAAACAGTATTGCTTCAGTGATCAAAGGACTAAACAATCGACATATCAGATTAAATTCACTAAGACTATCTTTAGGCCTTCAAGGAACCACCTACTTTTCGGAAATCCCAATATAAAAGACCCAATTAATGAGTGATCTTAAGACTGTGGAAAAGCCTTATGGTATACCATTTCATCACAAGGTTACAGTGAGTAGAATATCCCAGAATCACTTCCCGTTTATGTCAGAATACTATGAGTAACGAAAAAAAGATAATCCATACAAATGAGGGTTTACAGTGGGAAAATAAAAGATGGATTCTGAAAAAAAGGTGCAGTGACGTAATACATGACAAATTTATGACATTCAAGGCCTTATAATGACCATGACAAAGATGAAGATTGAAAGTAACCTTCTTAAACACAGCTGGTTTAGACTTTGGAATGGCTAGTGTTTCAGCTATACACAAGTGACTAGATCTTA